CTGTGTTCTGTCAGTCTCCTTGGTGATCAATGGGTGCTGGAGCTCATGCATTGACCAGCACCTGTTGATTGGCTTCTGCTGTGTCTAATCACAGCAGAAGCGGCGCTCTAGCGGTGCACACGCCCCCACGGTGGAAGTGCAAATTCATGTTTATATATGTGATTTTGCACGGAACGTCTTCCCTGTAGCAGTAGATCTGCTATAGGGTGGACTGAAAGTGGATAACTAACCTAAATTGGATATTAGTGCTTTCCTCAGGTTGCTGTTCAAGAGGGATTGTAAAGGTTTTTGCAGAATGATTTACCGGTAGCTGTATACAGCCTTTGACATAACCTGATCCAGAACCTTTTCACTTTTGAGCAGTCCCAGATGTGTAAAAAAAAAACGCATCTGTTGGCAGCCCTAAAAGCAGTTGAGATTGCATAAGAAATTCTAATAGGGACTAAGTACCAGCAAAGGAGAACCTTATAGTTTGCCTACATGGCCTACACAGAGCTGAACTCTTGGCAGTATTGGTACACATCCGAGTCCAGTACTCCTCCAATGTATCACCTCATAAATTATTATCTTATTTAACATCGAAAGATGGTAGGGTGTCCAAAGTCAATGTAAACAGTAGGGATAACACCAAGGTAATGAGCCCAGGCCCCCTGGTTTATTCAAGAAGTCTCCCTCAAAGTCCGCGGATTGGGAAAGATACGTTTTTGTCACAAATGCATTGCTGCAAGAGTGCTGGTTCACATATATGTGGATTGGATTGGCTCCCGCTGCTGTCAATCAAGTCCTGTGATGAGGGATCAGGGGGCAGAGCCAAGCCACGCTCTCTGTCTTTGGATACAGGCAGCTTGGCTCAGGATCAAGCTTGCAGGTGTACCATGATAGGAAGCAGCTTCCTATATTGGCACTCCAAGAAGGAGTGCCGGCAGGGAACCCTAGAAAAGGACGTTCAGGGCTGCACAGAGCTGGAAAGTATAACATGTTTATCATTTTAAAAGAAAATTACAATCACTTTAATGGAGTTTGGATTCGTCAGCCAAATTTATGATAAGTTCAGCTAATGTCCAGCCAACCAAATCAAGGTATGTTCAACCCATCCCTATTACCCAATAACAATAAAGCAAGTTTGGATTTTCATTGTCAAAAAAAGTTCTGTAATTTTCCAGTCTACATTTTGAATTTTGTTCATGTTTATGAGGCAACACAGACAGCATAAATACACAGTAGCCAGTACTCATGGATGCACCCTAAGCATCATGTACCTTGGATGCAGCTAAATAATAGTGTGCCCAATTCATCAAAGTAACTGTAATAACAACAGTTTATTGCCTCTCAGCAACCAATAAGCCTGCTTTGAAAAATGGCAGTTGGAGAGATGGATTGTTGCTCCAAAATGAGGACAGTTTGTACAAAAAGACATTGTGATGAAAAAGCGTTAGTTTACCTTAGATGTGTCCAAATCTCAGCTATTTCTGGTCATTAAAGCAGCAATATCTATCTATCTATCTATCTATCTATCTATCTATCTATATCTATCCATCTATTTACAGTATCTATCTATCTTATATCCATTCATATTAACCTAAACAAAAAAGAAAAGATGCAACCCATAAAGACGAAAAAGACTAACCTTTAGAAATCACCTATGAGACTTGTCAGGCCAGTTCTGTCTCGGTGGTCAGAATATCCTTACATTCACTCTGTTTTGGATTCTCCTCATGTTGTGCAAACAGAAAATTTCCTTTTTTTACACCCAAATACTGTTTACTGGGTGCTCTGTATTTTATGTCAGTCAACTAGCTTAGAGAGCAGTAAAACAGCCACACTGTAACAGACCAGCTGATGCTAAGAGCAGAAATATGTCCAGTTATCTGTATCATGTTATAATTAAACATAGGCCTATTCCCTTGGCTCCACACCACTGGGCAAACATACTTTGTTAGGTGACAGATACATAGCAGTGTCAATAGGTTCCCATTCCCACAGTGACTAGTGAGGTCTAATGTATTTCATTGATACCAGGCCCACTGTGTGACCCAAGCAAAGAGCACTCCATGTAAGGGTCAAAACAGCCACTTTGCTAGAAAATCAAAGGTATATATGCACAACATATGGTGAAAGACAGAATCATTAATACTATAATTATGTGTGTGCAACAACCCCTTTGTTCTTCAAACACTGTTGGGCTCCTGCACAGGGGCACCTAATGGCCAAGGACATCATGAAGACTACTGGAGAAGACTCCTGGAGAACTCAGTTACTTAATTTTGGCACTAGGCTTCATCCATCTAATAGGTTTGCTCACACTACTCTGTAAAGCACTTGGTTCTAACAATGAATCTTTACAATTCAATTGGGGATACAGTGTGAACATTACTGCTGGTGTTGTAATAGGAAGTGACATAGCCTATCTTAATGGTGCCATAGACTGTATGAGCCAGTGAGAGTGTGAGATAAACACAGAAAAAAGTGCTCTGCAAATGAGTACACTGCTGCAATCTGCTTGTATGGAAATATTTAAAAAATCATTATTATTAAAAATGTTGGGGTTCTAAAAGTTATTTTTAACAACTAAAGTACCCCAACAACGTCTATAAGAACATGCATAAGAAACAACATCACAGTATGTACCATGAATATAAAAGCAGTTCCATAACCTAGGTAGTCAGTATATAATTTCGTAAACACACAATTATATAATAATATAATGCAAAATGCATCCAATATTTTTTCTACAACATATAATTGTACAATTCTTTATATAGGTATAGTCCAACCCTAACAAGGAAATAGACCAACGAAAATAGCTGTTTTTGCAAAAGTCCAAATGAACTTAATAGTTGTTAGGCATATTAATCAAATTCTCTGTCCAGAAATTCACCAATATGCACTGTCATTTGAATGCCTTCAGAAAATCTTTTACAAGATTCCTCAAGTCTCCATGTATCCCACTGTAGCAAGGGTGGGATCCTCTGATTAATTTTGTCTTACAGAGAGACTTCATTACACTTTGAAATAAAATGCATTTGTGCTTTGCGAAGTGAATGGTGGTACCCCAAACCAACATACCCTGTTTTTGACAAAGATGCAAACTGTAGTTACCCTTGCTACAATAAGATGTATGGAGACATAAGCATTTACACAATTGAAAGCAGAGGTGGTATACATATGGAGGAACCTAGGCAATATAATGAAATACAACTAAGACTGTTCTTGAGAATTAATTGTTTGCACTATGATATATTGTGGCAGCTGAACTAGCGAATCCCAGTGTTCTGCTGTGTGAATGAGTTAATTAAGATATGTTACATGAACTGGCCGGCTGACGCACAATTCTCACATAGTGGAGGATTACAGTATGCCATTTAAAATGGAGTTGCTGTTAAATGGGCCCTCTGATGTCCAATGAGAGTAAAACGCTGAATAAAGAGTATATGGATTATTATTGCAACATCCCATAATTAGAATGAGGTATGCAGATTAAGTGACCAATCTTCTTTTATTGATCAATTTGATGGGGGATGTCATGATATATATTTTTGAAACAACAAAAAAGCTAATTCCATTAAGGATAGAGATTACCTTGGTATCTAACATTGCCTGAAGGTGCTGGGATCACTGTGGACTTTTGGACAGAATATGTTGATTATGCCTAGATTATTAAATTCACTTGCAACCTTCCAGCATGTTATCTAGGCTATTGGTGTAGTTTATGAGTCAATATATTGGCTTTACCTAAGATATAGAGATGTTTTTATATTTATATTTATGCAGTGCTGTCATAAGTAGGGGTAGTTTAGGTGGTGACAGACAAAAAAATTTTAGAACCCCAGTAACATTATCTGATAGAGAGAATTTATAGAATGGCTTGTTTTTTTCTTTTTTGTTTAAGGTGTGAGATAAAGCAGGGGAATTATGTTTTGATATATTATGGTTACCAATCCAGATCTCAAAGAAAGGCAAACCTGGGAAAGAATGTACATTGGACAACAGTGGTGAGCCCCAATTATGGGCCTAAGCTGATGATCTAAAAAATGGTCCTCTGTAGTCTGTTTATGCCACTGTATAGAAAATTGCATTGCATACTTGAAAAGGTAATGCTGTGTTGCTGGACGTACCCTCCTATTTTGTCTCCTGGTCTGCAGGAGCAGGCTGTACAAAGTCATGAGCTCCTGAACATGTAGCAGTTCAATAATCCAGAAGGGGGAAGGAGCTCCACTCGCCAGAAAAGCCACCTGTACTTTACTGAAGCAAAGTGATGCACCAACACTTCACCTGGTGCCAAAATTCTACTGAGTTTCACTCCTGAGCAGTGATCCAAAATAGGGATGTTTTGGCAGCAGGTGTACTGTCGGTGCATCACTTTATTTCAATAAACTACAGTTGGCTGTTATAGTGAGTGGTTCTCCCTTCCTCTTTCTGGATTATTGAATTGCATTGCATGTGTAGTGTCCTCCTAGCGTAAGTTGCTAGGCAAATTTAACTTTGGCTCATTTGTAATCAAGGGAACAGTAATTGTTCAGTTTGGTCTGTTCAGTGTCTCACAGGCTGGAAGTTTGATTGCTTACCCCTGCCTCTGAAAGAAGCTTCTAGAGCTTACAGTAGGAGATTCCAATAGCCCAGTCTGAATATTTATTGGCATCTGGCCAATTCCTGTAGGGAAAGTTCCTCAAAGGGGGTCAGATAAATAAACAGTTTGAGACACTGGAGAGCAGGGTTCCAGAGGCGCTGGTACTGCTGCTGCCAGGCAGCCCATGGACTCAACAACTGCTCAAGGAGGCTTCACAGGTGCTAGGATCAAAAGCTAAAATGGACTTTGCTTACAGCTCACTGCAGCACCACACTACAAAAGGGATCAGGCCCTGAGAGGCACCACCTACCTCACTGGGTTGTGTTTGGAGCAGGGGTGGACTGACCATTCGAGCACTCGGGCACTGCCCGAGGGCCCAGGCACAGGGTCAGTAGGGGGCCCCATGAGATACCCCTGGTACCTTGGCTTTTTCATAGGCTTTTTTGGGTATGGGCAAGGACACAGGGACCCCATGACCCCCTGTTGCCTGGGGGCCTCATGAGTTGTCAGTCCACCCCTAGTTTGGAGGAAGCTTGAAGGAGACAGCTTTTCTGATTCCTGAGTACTGAAAGCTGCACTAGGTGCCAAATGTTGCACACTGACGCAGGGTAACCAGATGCCTAAATTCTTGTCCCATGGTCTACAGCTGTGAGGCCTCAGACTGTTCATTATTAGTCATTACTGCTACTTCTAAAAAGACTGTCTTCTGATTACTGGCTACTGCTGAGCATTTTGGAGTATCCCATACCCCTACCCATCTCTTGTTACAAGTTTCTTCAAGCAATAAGTCTTAAAAAGACAACCAGAAATACCAGTGGCCCCTGCGGCGGGTAGCCTTACACATGCCTTCAAAATCTCTCCTCAGTGAATTATTTACAAGACCAATGCATAAGTTATTACTGCACATATTGGGCTCCAATGTTAATATAGATAGCTTGTGCATTGTAAAAATAGAAATAGGAACTGGAAAAGTAAACACTAGGAATAAATGGTCTAGCAGCTGAAAGGATAATCCAGTGCACTCCTCATGCACTATTATCCATGACACTCATAAGAACCCACAGTACCGCTGATATAAGTACAGCATGTGCGTTTTTTGGTGTGAGCATGCAAGATGCATACACTAAGCAGGACAGCTTCTGAACTTTTATATAAACATTTACTATACATGGATGTCATGCAGTAAGGGCCCATTCACACAAGGTGCAGTGGCACTGCATTGTGCAGCCTTGCTCAGCGCAGCCCCCCTGAAAGACAAGGCAAAATGCCTTGTCCCCTATCAAGCCAATTTATACCACCCCATTGTGGTGGTGTGTGCTGAAAAAGTGTGGCCTGCCATATTGTTTTCAGCACAGTGTAGTGCAAGGCAATTCACTACCTTGTATCATGCTGTAGCCAATACAACTTAATGAACTATTTCTTTCATATAAATATTTTCAGTACATAGATGCCATACACTAAGGGCCCATTCACACCAGAAGCGACTAGTGAGAATGGTGGGACTGCGCTCAGCCTTGTCCAACACAGTCCCACCAACAGTCAAAGCAAAATGCATTGCATGCTATTAGGCCAATTCTCACCACCCTGTTGAGGTGGTGTGCACTAAAAAAAAGTACAGTGTACAGTTCGGTGTGAAGCAATCCTACTGCACACCTGTGGTTGCATTCTAGCAAAGCTGCTAGTGTGAACAGGCCCTAATGGTTATGAATATGCATTGAAAGTAGGTGTGGGCACTGTGCATGCTTAACATGATATGTGTTATAATGTCAACAATGTGGCTACCTTTCAGTAATCATTGACACTGATTTACTAATGGAGTCGAGCACGTTCTCTTTAAAAGTGAATTTACACTTATCCTAGTGAATGAGATGGGACAAAGAGAAAATTCACTTTGCAAAGAATACCCAATTATGTGAAAGAAAAATGTAAGCATTTAATTCTTGCTCACATGTGATTGGATGAAGCATCAACACAACTTCACCTAAATTTGCAGAGAATTCACTTAGCTTAGCGAATTAGGGGAAGTTGGACTGACTTCAATTATCCAAGCACTTACAAACAAAAATCCTCTTTTTTAAACTAGTGAAAATCACTGTGAAGGCTCATTCACACTAGTGCATTGTGTTAACATACATTATGATGCACAATAATATGCTTTGTGTCAAGGCAGCCCATTCATTTGAAGGGTCTGGCAATACACAGAAGAATGGACATGCAGCATTTTTTGTGACATAGCACACCACAACACATGGTAGTGCATTGCCTCGTATTGCAATGTGCTGCAGTCAGGGGCGGACTGACAACTCATGGGGCCCCCGGGCAATAAGGGATCATGGGGCCCCTGTGTCCTTGCCCAAACTCAAAAAAGCCTATGAAAAAGGTACCAGGGGCATCTCATGGGGCCCCCTACTGACCCCGGGCCCTCGGGCAGTGCCCGAGTTTCCAAATGGTCAGTCTGCCCATGGCTGCAGTGTAGGTTTGTTGGCATGCAATTAAGAATGCAGGGCACCACACTGCACCACACCAGTGTGGATAGACCCTGACATTGGACATGCTCTACTCCTTTAGTAAAGTAACCCCCATGACTTTTTAGAAATAAACTAGGCTGGTAAAGCTAAAATCAACTGGCTAGCCTAGAGAATGTTACTCACTATTTAATTAAAACCTGTTTAACAGAAGGGTCACAGAGAGAAACTGGTGAATAGCTTAAATCGAAGATGTGTAAACAAATTTTTTTGTTGAAAATTCTTCGATGCAGGCATTATAATATGGCCTGAAATAGCACAAAGAGAACATCCAGCACCACTAAAGAGGTGGATCTGTAAAGTACAACCTAATTTACAGTATGTCTCACACACTCACCCTCCCAGACACTGCAGCTCACAATGGAATTATGTCAACAACCGAGGCAGTGCTGTCAATCTACAAAATAGTGAGCAGGACTAGGTATGTCAAGCTACAGGCTAGTAAATCAGCAGTAACAGTGTTTATAGCCATGCCCACTGCAAAATTTCCACATCCCACTGTAGTACAAACAGGCACAGCCTACGCAAGAACTGAAACTCTGTTCTGAATTCAGAAGCAGAGCAACATCGCTGCCACATGGTCACAGGAAGCTGCATTAATTAATTCCCTGGCAGCTCAATAGGTATTTTGGGGCTTTGAAGGGGGATTAGTGAAAAGTAAGTACAAATGCACTTATAAGCGGAATGTCACCCAAAAGGTGAAGGTCTGCTTATCTGCCTACTCCCACCACCCACCGTTTAGGTTTTGACAATTTATGTATATATTTGGGGGGGTGTCGGATACTTGATTTTGATGCGGTGATCTGAGCGGAAGTTAGGCCTCCCTTCCCCCACAGTGTTCTAGGACACCACACAGGTCCCAGAAAGCTTTGGGATCAATCACAAAGCGCAACGCGGCTTGAAAACATGCAGTGAGAAGCTTTTTGTGAAGCCACAAGCGGTCACAGCTGGTTTCCCAAAGTAAACATGCTGACGAGAACCCAAAGAGCTGGCTCGGGTAAAGATCGCACTGGATCCTTGGATGAGTTAGACCTGATTCATGTATGTGCTGTGCGGATTGAAGCTCGGGTTTTATAGCTAATTGATACAGTAGTTGTTCACAGATTCATGTCAGGTTTACATCAGGTTCAGGACAGAATTAGCTCAGGATCTTAACCTGTTCACACACATACGATTTAGAAATGGTTAAATAGAAGTCAATAGCCTGTAATCTGCTACTGAACCGGTCAGCACTGCTCAGAAATCAGATATGACTCTTTTTAAAAGCACACTGATTCCGCACCGCCAGTGCACTTAACATATGTGAACAGGTACCATAGGAAGCAATGTTTTTTCATGTCATGCGTATAGGATGTGGTTCAAATCGCATCCAATCTGCATATATGTGAATGGGCACTAAATGTCCTATTATTAAAAGTCAGCATCTACAGTATTTTATTTTTGTTTCTAGGGTGAACAACTGCAGCACTTAGAGACCATAGTTCTACTTTAAAATGGTAGTAAACTGCAGCTTTTCAATAAAAATCCCTTGCAATGCAATGGCATAATATGCTAGTATTCATCGCATGCTAGCACATTATGAAATTCTTACTTTAGAAAGAAGCCCTCCAGCGGTGCACTGTCACCGCTAACAGGTCTTCCATCTTCCTCTGGTGTTCCATCTGGGTTCGCTGGCTCTGGCCCTTTGTATGGCTGAGCTGCGATGACATCATTCCTGCCCATACGCACAGGAGCCACAGTTTACAGAGCTCTGTAGGAACTGCACAGTTATGCCACCCCTTCAGAGCGCATGCGTCGGTGACGTCACCATCTGCATCCAGTGTTAATATCTCCTAAACACAGCAGGTTTAGGAAATATTCACTGTACCTACAGGTAAGCCTTATTATAATTATATTATATATAATATATATCATATAAATAGATATTCAAAAGCAGAGTTTACTACCACTGTAAGCTTTTGAGAAATAGCCTTAAAAGAAGCCCTTTTTTTTAGGGCCCAGCAGGTATCTTACCATTCATGAATTCCCTAGTCATCTTTCCACAAATTTCTTTAAAATATTCTGTGCTAATCTAGGCTTTACCCAAATCACCAATTTCTTCACATTTTTCTATTGACAAATTCATTTTCACAGTGATCATTTGATATCATGGTCAGAAGATGTGATTACAGGTGCTGCATAATTTTTAGGATCAGTGACCCAAAGAACTGAAGACAGAGGCTTAGTGTGAGAGTCATAAAACCAACCTTTCAGAGGTTGGCAAACAGCGTCTTCTATGACATCTAATATTAACAAAATGAATAGGCAATAAAAGATAATGCTATTTACAGCAAGCTGCAGAGTTGCTCTTGAAGAGACAGAAAAGATTTATAGACCTCCAAACAGGGTACCATATAAATGCACTGAGGATGCCCCAATTCTATGTGAAGTTCAGCAATTTCAATGTGCTCTGGTGCAGAGCTGACACTATGGAACAGATCTCTCCCCTTTTGTACTAACAGAATTTAGCAGAAAATAGTTGAGACCTTTCATTTTAATGAGCTAAACTTTCTAAACAACTTGCTGAGTGTCTCCAATGATGTACATCAGTTTGATGTGCGTCTTTTTTTCACCACTCAAGGCCTCCAAATCTTTCACGCCCTCACTGTCTGCCCTGAGCCCGAATGCACTTCTTCCAAAACAAGATGCATTTTTCATCACCCTGACAGCCAATGGCATAGCGGAGTGCTCATGGGGTTTGGTTTTTAGCTGTAATTGCCAGCAGATCTCCACAATCGCCTCTAATGTACTCTTATTCTCATTTATTTGCAGTTGTAATTAGGAGGCAGCGTTGCCAGCTCTCGCATATCAATGCCTTCCATTATCCAATCACTGCAAGCTGGCGATACAAACACAGATGGGAGGTAATGGGGCTGTGGTGTGATATTAGTGAGAATATAGATCAATCGCACAAAAATACAATACACAAACACAATACTTAACCCCAGCATTACCT